TTGGTGGGCACTACTTGAGAAGTTTGATGGTATACATGCAAGCCTTCTTGTAGTGTTCTTCTAGGGATTTTAGTGGGTTCATGTTTGGTTGATGGGTTCGAAGCTTTTTGGTGGCGGTTGTGGGATGATGTATATCCGAGCTAATTATAATGGAAAAAGTTTATATAACGATGCTACCTTATAATATAGAACTACCGATGCCCTTCAAAAATCTATCGAAAAAGGTTGTTTTAATGTTGAAAAAACTTTTGATGGTTATGAAAAACTAAAAAGATTTTAAGGTTAGAAAATAATGTATTTTACAACATTTTACCAGTCTATTTTCTAGGTTTTCGTATGTTTATATATTTACTTTATTCTATCAATTTTTGAAAAGCTAAAATTTTATAATTAAATATAAAAATAGATTTTGAGATAATCTTATTAAGATTTTATACCAAAATTATATGCCATGATAAAATCTGAAGAGCGTCGTACCTCTACACCTCTACACTATCAAAGGCGTTCTGTATGCCAACGGCACCCCATTGATAATTGATAGTCAAATCATCTTCATCGAGATAGCCGAAGAAGCATGAGCCTTGGCCATGGTTATTTGACTTGGGCCAGATCAAGACTTGACTTAAAAATTAAAAATATATGTTTAGATGTATATAAATTTGGGTAATGATCCTATAAGACCTTTTTATATTCATATGAGGAAAACTTCAAAAGATCATCATTAACTTTTAACACATATTTTTTGAAAAGTTTAGGCATGAGTGTGGGATTTAGGTGAATAGATTCATTGATAACTTTTTTAGATATCTGTGTCAAATTTTAATAGTAATATTTTAGTGTCCTATTCAGATACGAGTGGAAGAGTCTCATACTATAATTACCTTATAAAAATTATATTAAATATATATATATATTTAAATATTAAAAATGATTCGATAAGGGTGCAACATATCAAAATAAATAAATTTGATCCGAAAAAATGGCATTAATGATCATGTATATCTAAATTTGGCAATGCAATAATGAAGTGATATTGAGCAAATCCCTAAACCCCCTTGGAAAAACCATGTGAGCTGTCACTGTTAGTGTAAATGACATGCAAGGTAGTGGACAATCATGGTAGTGCATACTTTAAGACTTTTAATAGAGAGGACGTAGACTTTTGGGTTTGTTTTGTTGCTTTGATTAGATTTGGATACGGATTTTATGAGTCCATGTACAATGAGCTGCCTCTTAAAAATCTGTTTTTGAGTTGTATTTTTTGATCTAATTTTTAAGGACATATAATATTTAACATAGAGATCCTGAGTATGAAAAAAATAAATAAATTTTAAAAATTAAAAATAATAACTTTATTAAGAAAACATTTGGATTGATAATTTCAATTATTTTTTGCTGGAACACCTATTTAAATTCATCTTTAAGACGTATGGACCATAAATGTAGAAATGCGCTCCCCACCATATAAAACAATTTTCCATTAGATTTATGTGGCTGTACTGTTTCTTTGGTTTGCTTGAATTAGATTCATTGAGAAAAGTGATAAATTTATAAAGGGAAATTTATCTAAATATCTTTGAGAGATTAAGTATTTAACATTCTACTTATATTTTGTGATTTAATTATAAAGTATTTATCAATGACGACCAAAAGAAGTATCATTAAGTTTTGACACAGATCTCTAGAAAGTTATGATATGGGTGTGAGACTTGGGTGAATGAGTTTATTGATAACTTTATGATATGGGTGTGAGACTTGGGTGAATGGGTTCATTGATAACTTTTTAAGAGATCTGTATCAAAATTTAACAGCTGATTCTTTAGGTCATACTCACATGCGTGTGGGAGGATCTCATTGTGTCATTACTCTATAAATATTATATTAAATATATGTATATTTAAACAGATGAATGATCCTATAAGACCCTCCCCTATCCATATGTGTAGGACCCCAAAAGATCACTATTAAATTTGGCACGAATCTATAGAAAAGTCAAATCCCACACCCATATGATAACTTTTCTAAAGATCCGTATCAACTTTAATAGTAATCTTTTTGATCCTATACACATGAGTGGTGGAAGGTCCTATAAGATCATTACTCATTTAAATATTAAAAATAATTTGGTAGGGGTGCGCCTAACAAATTAAGTAAATGCGGTCAAAGAGGATGGCATTAATTACATTTATATCTGAATTTGGCAATGCAATAATGAAGTGATATTGAGCAAACCTCTAAACCCCCTTAAAAAAACCCCGTGAACTGTCAATGTTAGTGTAAATGACATGGGCGGTAGTGGACAATCATGGTAGTGCATGCTTTAAGACTTTTAATAGAGAGGACGTAAATTTTTTGGTTTTTTTTTTGGGTTTGATTAGATTTGGACACGGATTTTATGAGTCCATGTAAAATGATTGGCTTTTTAAAAATCTATTTTGAAGATGTATTTTTGGATTTAATTTTTAAGGATATATAATCTCGAACATAGAGATCATGAATATGTAAAAAACAAACAAATTTTAAAAATTAAAAATAATAATTTTATTAAAAAAACATTTGGACCTTCAATTTTTTTTTGCTGGGCCACTTATTTGAAATCGTCTTTAAGACGTATGGACCTACCGTATAAAACAATTTTCCATTAGATTTATAATGAAAAAATATGGGCCACATTTTGCATGCATTCACATGTGGATGATAAAATATGGGCCACATGGACATTATTGGCCGAATGTTTCCAAATCTTTTACTGGATTATGCATCACTTTTGCCCATATAGATATGAAATCATGGCCCTCTAATGTGGTTAGCTAAACACTTAGGCTATATATATATATATGGCCCTTTAATCTGGTTAGCTAAAGCTCCTTAGCAGCCAAAAATGGAGTTTGTAGAAGGAAAACTGAAAGAAGAGAAGTGGTTCGGTGAGATGGTTTTCCCTAGGACCCTCCTCCCCTCTCATGGATGTGAAGATGGAGCCACAACATTTTCTTCCCCATTTCACAAGCATGAAGGGGAAGAAACTCGTTTGGCAGAGGCTGTTAAGGCAAATCGCGTGTGGCTCGATAAACAGTTGAGTCGTCATGGTGCTATACTCTTTCGAGGGTTTGATGTGCGTCGTGCCGAGGACTTTCGAAGCGTGGTGGAGGCGTTTGGGTGGGAGGAGATGGATTACGGGATTGGCGATGAGACGCGCTCCAAGGTTATTGATCGTATCTATACTGCAAACGAGGCTCCGCCCGACGTGCTCATCGATTTCCACCATGAGATGTCAAATCTAAGAGCCCTCTCTCTCTCTGCGAAGGCGTGTATGCTTGCATGTGTGTCTGAGATGATCACCTTGCCTCTCAAAGCGTACTCTCTCCCGGTCTTTAAAAATATGGACTCTCTTCAGACTAGCCACTTCCTAAGTCCAACCATTTAATGGGAAAATTTCATTACAGTCCCTCGCCTCAGGGTACTCACTGAGTTTTCTAGCGAAAATTATAGATTGGACCTTAAGCTCAGAAGAATCGGCCTTTTGGGCAATTCCCTCCAAAATGGTTAGGGCGAGCCAACTCAAGCAAAATGGTTAGGGCGAGCCAACTCAAACGATTCTAAGTTGGTTCAGCCAATTTTTAAGGGAAAAGTGTTTTTTTTGTGAGGCACAGACTCACTAGCCCACTTCATCTTTAAGGTGAACCTTCACACCTAGAGATTTCTATTCAATAGATATAATTTTTTCTTAAAAAAGTTATTTTAAATTTTATTTTATTTTTATTTTTCATATTAATGATTATCGTAGTCTGCAAATTTAAGTTCAAGATCTATATAAAACATGAGCTAGAGGGAGCCTGCACGAGAATAGTATGACTCGGGGGACTCATAAAAACTGGATCCATTTATAAGTCTCTCGAATACCATTCCTTCTCCTTCCGAAATATCAATCCTATCCGCCCCATTTATTACAAAAGTAAATAGATGACACAAGAAGCTGGGTCATAAAACTTTATGAGGGTAATTTAGGTATTTTAAAAATATCGTTGTACTCAATGGGACTGATAAACTTATTTGTTTTCGGTTTACTAAGGGTTCGTTTGATAACGGGGAAGCGTCTTTTTAAAAGTTTAGAGCGTCTTAATACTGTTTAAGTTATGGAGTAGTAGACAGAGCTATAGAAATATTGGGTATTGGCGTAGGAGTACTTAATTGTGGGGACGGAATGCCTTTGATATCTAATTGGGTTAATTTAGATATCAATTGGTTCATTAGTGTTTTATTATCTTCTCCTAAATGGAATTTTGTTTTATTAAGTTATGGAGGTGGTTTGAATAAAAAAGCTTTAGGAACAGGAGGGGTTACTCCCTTAGGTTGAGGAATGATCAGTCTTTCTATCCTTTCTGCTTGTTTTCCTAAAAATTGCATGTATAAGTTGGTATAATTTTTTTGCTCAATAATATGTGGTATTAATTCATGATTTTTTATCATATCCTTAGGTACAACCTTATAAGGTGTTGCAATAATTTCATATAAAGATTGTGGTGGTTCACCTTTTACTGGTGAGGTATTAACTCCTTTGAGTATAATACTTTTGACAGGAGGATGGATATTAGAGGTAGTAGTTCCATCTGTACTTACATAGGTTTTTTCTTCAATTGTTTGAATAGTATGAAACTGAAGAATTGTAATTTTATATTGAGTACAAATTTCCTGTAACCATATAAAAAATCCTTTTGTTTCTCTTTCTTTTTTCAAAAATTTATTATATTTTTTATGAAATAATTCTATTAACCTAGGTTGGAATGTTTTAAGATACCATTCTCTAATACCTTGATTTTTTGGAGCTAGATAATATTGTTTTATATATTCAATAGCTACTTTTTTCTTCTTTCTTGCTAATTTAGTAGTTAAGTATTCTTTCAAGTATTCATCCATATTTATATCATCTTCTACGTGTAAAGTGAGTATTTGAAATTCAGCTATGTCTGGTTCAGATGTATAAGTGGGAATGACTACGTGATCAGTTGTTCGTTTGACTCCTTGTATTTGGAAGTCTGAAGATGTTGTAGGTATTGATGGAGAAGGAAATATTATAATATCTGGGGTTGTATGACAAGATTTCCTTGCTGGATTTATTGGTTTTTTAATTCTTTTCCTATTGATATCTATATCATCCTGTATTGTAGATTGTTGAAATTTAATTTCAATATTTCCATCTTGATGTTCTATTATTTGATTAGGGATACTATTCACATGTACTTCTCTGGGCTGATTTGCATTTTGTAATGCCCATGATTGAGGTAGAATTATATCTGACCAAGTAATGGTTTTGGGTATAATAGTATTTGATTTTTCTATATTTGTTTGAAATAATATAGTTTGATCCTTCTTGTCTGTTTGCATAATATTAGGACAGAGAGTATTCATTACTTTGTAATATATTCGATATACAATAGCTAAATTTTGAGAACCATGAGTTATATTAAATCCATGAGTTTTCAAATTTATATAGTTAATATATCTAGGATATTAGGGTCGGTTAATGAAACAGAAAAATTTGGAAAACAATTAAAATAAATGGGTCTACTACATAGACTGGATTCAACCATGCCTAGAAGTGAGTCCGAAAACTTATTGTGTCTTGTATCTCTTAGGCATACAAGCAATGAGGAGTTTAACCCTAGACGGGTTAATGGTTTAATGGCTATTTGTATTAATCTAATGTGTAAATATTTATAATTATTTTCTTTATGTTTTTCAATTATTTTTCGTGATAATAGTTGAAAGTCTTCTTGAGTTTGAGTTACTGATAGACTTTCTTCTACTGTTTTTATAGCATATCCTAATTTAAATTTGAATGTTCCTTTTTGATAAATATCTTTTATTAGTACTTTGGGAATATTCCAATTTTGTATATGATGTTCAATATCATTGATTACTATCTCTTCCTTATTTTTAACTCTTAAGGTTTGAGGTTGAGTTGCTGTATTATCTTTAAGATTCCTAATTAAATTTGCCATCTGTAGGTTGAGGACAATGGCAATCTGGACGACCAAGGGTCCAACGTGTTCCCCTAAGCGGCTCTTCCTGGCCTTGGCGGGTACTTTGCCTAGACTTATCCTTTCGTCTCTTGCCTTAACTCTCGGACCAACTTTCTTAGATGTAAATTTAGTTAGGTTTCTACAGTAATACTGTAACTTTGACTCCTAAACATGTTTCACTGTTTGGCTCTGATACCAAAACGCGCCGGGATCTACAGTGAAGTTTTTGGGATATTGTTTACAATAGGTATGTGAATATTAAGCTATTATATTTTACTATTTCTTTTAAAAGTCGGTAATAATTTAGACAGAATAGAAGTACGCAAATGAAGGGTATGACTGATATATCTATCACTAACCACTGTGTGTGGTTATGATTGCCTATTTTGATACTAAATACTATTTTGAATTGCATCAGATAACATAACACTTTATATCAAACCATAAGACACATAAATTTGAATTGCATCAAATAACATAACACTTTATATCAAACCATAAGATACAGAAATTTATAAAGATACATAAATTTGTACAGAGTAGTACTTCTGAAAGAATACTGGAAAACACACTACAAACTGTATATACAAACTGTTAAGGCAAACTGTAAAGACAAACTTACAATTTACAAATGCAATAACTGGAAAAGAGTTTCCAGTGTTGAGGGCAATATGAAGGGAGGGAGTGAAGATTACAATCACACATAATAGGAATGTAAAAGAGAGGAGATGATAAAACCTGGGTCTGAATGAAGTAAAGGTTAAAGTAGAGACCTAGAAAGCATGGGCTGTTAAGGTCGGAGCAGCAATTGTATGATGGAGCGTAGAGTGAACAGAGTGAGAGCTTTCTTAGTAGACAGAGAGCTTGAAGCTTAGAGAGCGACAGAGAGAGAGAACTTGAAGCTTAGAGAGCAACAGAGAGAGAGAGCTTGAAGCTTAGAGAGCAGGGAGAGAGGAGAGGCTCCGACTGACCTTGGCTTTCTGAGGAAGGAGAGCCCCTTATATAGAGAAGAAAAGAGGTGCCTTCGTCTCGAAGAAAGAGATTAAGGATAAGGAAGAGACATAAAGCATAAAGCATAAAGCATAAAGCATAAAGCAAAAAGGGACGAGACATAAAGAAAGATGCTGTCGGAGGAAGAAAACAAAACCAAAAAGGAAAAGCAAAAAAGTCTTTTGTCTTTGTCGGCGCTAGTGGACAAAAGAGCATCAAGGAATAGTAAGTATCTTTTGTCTTTTATGTCGGTGAGTACAGTGATGGCATCCTGGAATAGTAGCGGTTTGTCGTTTATGTTGGTGGATAGCATCTTGGAATAGTAGTGGCTTGTCGTTTATGTCGGTGGATAGCATCCTAGAATAGTAATGGCTTGTCGTATATGAGTGAGTGGTAGCGATGAGTCATGGTCTTTGGCTGCATTCTTTCGGATCATCATCTTCTTCTTCGGGATCCGTTTCTTCAAGTGGAAAGTACTTATTGGTATGGGTTGGTGATGACTGTACGGTCTCATCTGATGAGACCGACTTTCGTCCTGCTTCTGCAAATATCTCCCTCATTTGTTGTTCAAGGGTTTCTTTGGAGGCATTAGGGTTTGTTTGCAGCATATTTCTCAAGTATGTAGTGAAGTCAAAGGAAGTATTGGCAGTATTATGTCCACTCGGACTGGGGTTATATGTAGGTTTTTGTGGAGGTATACGTTTGGGAACTATGGTTGTGGGATCCATATTGAATATATCCCACCATTTTACTGAGATGGTTTTTCCAAGGCGTGGGATATATGTATGGTCAGTTGTATTATTGACAGAGATTGAATATTCCCATTTCATAATCCATGGGAGTTGGTATAGTACCACAAAGTACAGGTGATTGTCTGTTTTATTATCACTATTATTGAATATAACAAATTGTTCGTGCACTTTTTAGAAAGTAGGAGGTAAAATTGCAGTAGTTGATCCCCAAACTAAAAACCAATTTTTAAACCAATTGGGGAATCGTTCGAAAATTGGTAACCGAAATTGAATATACCAGCTATGAGTATTATTTGGATTTTGATAATAAAACATTTTATGCCAGACTTCTATGTACTCGGCATATTTGTAATATTTGTACGAAAAATCAGAATTATGTAATTTTTTGCCCTGAGCGGGATTGCAACCCCACTCCTCATAAGAAAACAATTTCTTGATCTGCATTTTGGAATATGCAATTATTTTTGTATTTTGCTGATAGTAATGGACAATAGAGATGGACCCTGTTTTTATAAGAATGGCTTCATAATACTCACGAGTTTTTACTCCATTGGTTGAATTCAAATGGTTTATAAGATATAATGGAGCAAGATTGATGGGATAGTATGGTGGTCATCTATTGTAATATCCATGAGATATGCTCTTTCAATAAATGGAGAACGCGGAACATTAGGCCTTTGGGTTGGCCTTGATTGAGCTGGAGTATAGGCTGGAGTGGATGTATTAGTGTATGGATAAGTGATTTGGTGAATAGGTGAAATGGAAGGTGAAAGGGTACCCAAAGGCGGATTATCACCTTCAAATGGTATTATTGTCAAAGGGCGTTTCTCATTACGAGAGGAATTGCTACGAGAGCCCATTAGAGTAGGTGGATTGGACAAAGTATTATTTTGATTAGCTGCAAAGAGCTGTAGTGCAAGTGCTAGTAGTGTTTCTTTGTCGTTGGCGTCAGTGTTGCCCCCTCTGCAAAAAATTCAAGGGTTAGAAAATCGGGAAGGGAATTAGAAGAACCGTGAAGGTGTTCAATAGTAAAATCAAAGGCAGAAAGTATAGCCTGCCAGCGAGTAAATATTTGTTTGGAAACAAGGTTTTGAACATCTTTTTGCAGAATGTCTTTGGCAGCTTTGCAATCAGTTCGAATAAGAAATTGTTGATTGAGAATATCACTTTGAAATTTGGTAACACAATGGACAATTGCAAGTAATTCCTTTTTTATCGTGGAATAGTTTTGTTGGGTTGGATTCCAAGCTTTAGAGGTATACCTAAGTAGAGGAACCAATTATAGAAGATACCATACAAAACCAAGAATCTGCTTTTATGGATACTTCACCTACTAATCTAAATAGAATCGCATATGGTAAATCATGGAAACCAATCACAGCTTTACCATACTATAAGAGACCTACACCTATTGATGTACAACTTGAAGAAGATGCCATACAGCAGGCTGTTTCCTATTCAGGAAGATCAATTGTCAATTGGACAATAAATGGTTTATCAGAACTAAAAATATTAGATGTCATGAGACATATGACAATGTTTGCTTCAGCAAGTAAAATGGCAGGCAATCCTGATCAAGAGGTTGCCAAAGCATTAGTTAATGAATTCACTGGCTGGTTAAGAGGCTGGTGGAATTTCTATGTTGATGATGAAACAAAGAATAGAATTCTTACCAATACAAGACAATAGACCACCAGAAATGAACAAAATTAAGAAATAATTTATATTGGAAGTGATGCAGTAAACACCTTGATATATACCATTACTCTACATTTCGTAGGAAGCACAGCTTTTTTAACAGCAAGATCAGAAGATTTGCTTTTTAATCTTCGTTGTCCTACTTTATCTCACTATAAATGGTATAAGGATGTATTTTTCTCAAGATTACTTATACGAGAAGATTGTCAGTTAGACCATTGGAAAGAAAAATTTATTGCTGGTCTACCATACCTATTTGCAGAAAAAGTCAAAGAAAGACTAAGAAATAAACATAATGGAGTTATCATATACTCTGCGTATACACTTGGAGAACTATCAGCAGAAATATGTGCTGAAAGATTAGCTTTATGTACTGATCTTAAACTCAAAAGACAACTTAATAAACAACAAATTACCAAGCGTAAAGAACTTGGTGATTTTTGTGAACAATTTGGTTATCATTTAAACAAAAAACATAATAAACCTGAAAAATTATATAAGAAAAAGAAAAAATATAAGGCAAAATATAAAAATGATAAAATACATAAACAATATAAGAAATCCAAACATAAGAAATTTATAAAAAAGTTTTTTCTTAATAAAAATAAAAAGAAAATACCAGTATGTTATAAATGTGGAAAACTTGGCCACTATAAACATCAATGTAAAGTAAAAAAGAAAATAGATGCTTTACAATTAGATGCTTTAGTAAAATCATAATTATATAATATAATCAATTATGATACATCTTCTTCAAATACAGATTCTACCACATCACTCATAGAAAATATCCAAGATGACGACCTAATATGGACAGAGTCATCTAT